ATAAAAAAAAAAAAAAAAAAAAAGCTATAAACCAGTACTTGGCACATACATCAGTAGCCTCCGCAAATTGCCTTCCTGAGGTACTTGGCACATCATCATCAGTAGTATCTTCAGCCTTGGTTCGCCTTGCACTAGCAAGACGCATTTCTGTATATAGGTTGAAGAATGTTAGGATCCTAGGAGTTTAACTAAGATCTGGTCAAGAAGTAACAAGAGAACTTGTTTTGACAACAATACAAATGTACTAGAACAATCAAAAAAGAAGAAGAAAAGAAAAGGTTTTTACCAGTCTCGATATCAGTATCAGGACCTTCATAAATCTGGTTCAGATGCGGCCATTGCTCCAAATTCTCCTCAAACTGAAAAAAAAAATCAAAATCAATGACAACCTAAACCCAAAACAACCAAAAAAAATCGAAATTTTTCCGGTCAATCGCTCGGGCATTACCTTGTTGTGCCATTTGGCGGCGGCCGGAGCGGAATCCCGGCGGGGCCGGAGGTACTGCATTGCAGATCTAGGGTTTGGCTCTGCGAAAAACGATGAAGAAGAAAATGGTGACAATAATAAGAAGAAGAAAGTTTTGAGCTTGATTTCTGGAGAAGTAAAAGTAACGGTGAAAGTAACGAGGAGAGAGAAGCCGGTGACGGGTGGTGGATGCGTAGAGAGCTCGGAGTTGGTTCGGGAGCTTCGAAGCCATGGCGTCGATGGTCAATGGCTGGAGCTCGGTGGTCGAGCAAGAAATGGGGGCTAGGGCATCAGGTAGATTTTGGGGAAAACGTAAATCAGGGCTGAATGGAAAAAGCCATTCTTAGTGGTAGCGGTAGAGTAGAGTAGAGTAGTAGTAGTAGTTGTTGTTTTTAAGAAGTAATAAGGCAAAAACTAACTCCTTTTCTTGTGGTTGTTTTGGAGCTGATTGAATTTGTGATGATGTGGGCGCTCCTGTTCTTGAGGTATCAGTGGTCATGTTCTGCTGTCGTTGATGTTGTAGACTTTTCTGATGATCAAAAGCTTGGTGATGATCTGATGAAAATGTTGTCTTTTTACTTAGAGGAGATTCTGGCTCTAATTGTTGCTTTTACAGAATAATACTGAGGAAGAAGAGAGTAATCATCTCATTCATTCACTGAAAACTTATGAAAATACAAAACGCATCTATAGCTAAGATAGGCTCCTAGAAAAACTCTGCTCACACAAAACGATGTAACCGAATGGTACAGCTCAGCAAAACAAACTCATTCTAGAATAACCTATTTGTTGTAACAGAATAAAGAAGAAAATGGAAATGAGCTGGAAAATATTCTAAAACTCCCCCTCAAAACGGAGAATACAAATCATGGATTCCCATCTTGCCTAGCAAAGTATGAAACTGTGTTGGCTGGAGAGCTTTGGTGAAAATATCCGCCAATTGATTCACAGTGGATACATGCATAATCTTCACAAGTCCGGCTTGTATTTTCTCACGGATGATGTGGCAATCAATCTCTATATGTTTGGTGCGTTCGTGATAAACCGGATTGGCGGCAATGTGAAGAGCGACTTCATTATCACAAAACAGCAGAGCCGGTCCATTATGAGAAATGTGGAAGTCTTTCAGCAGAGCAAGCAACCACAGAATTTCACAACTGGTGTTTGCCATAGATCTATATTCTGCCTCAGCCGAAGACCTGGACACAATCTGTTGTTTCTTCGATTTCCAAGATATAAGAGATGAACCCAGGAACACACAAAAACCAGAAATTGACCGCCGTGTGTCGGGACAAGTTGCCCAATCAGAGTCGGCAAAAGCTTTTAACTGGATAGTGGAGTTGGAAGGGAAAAACAAACCTTGACCTGGAGTTCTTTTAATGTATTGTAGAATCTGGAGTGCTGTTGCATATGGGGAACACGAGGAGTAGCCAAGAATTGGCTTAATATATTCACTGAATAACTCAAATCAGGTCGAGTGATAGTGAGGTATAACAGCTTACCAATGAGGCGCCTGTAGGTGGAAGGCTCATCTACCAACTCGCCATCTTCTTGTGAAAGTTTGAGATTTGGTTCCATTGGAATAGATGTAGGTTTGCAACCCAAGTATCCTCTTTCGGAAAGCAATTCCAAAGCGTATTTTCGCTGACAAACTGAGATTCCAGCAGTGGTTCTTACAACTTTTAGGCCCAGAAAATACTTGAGAGGCCCCAAATCCCTCATTTTGAATCGCTTACTAAGAGCTTGTTTGAGCTCAGTCACAGCTGCATCATTGTTGCTAGCAATTATTATGTCGTCAACATAGACTAAAAGAGCCAAAAAAATGGAACCTTGTCTCTTGATAAACAGAGAATGATCATTGGCTGACTGAATGAATCATGTTTCCAGCAAAACGTTTGAGAACTTACTAAACCATTGACGAGAAGCTTGTCGCAGCCCATATATTGACTTACGCAGTCTACAAACAGCATTAGGAGGGAAACTCTCCCCCTTTCGACAAGGATAGCCTGGCGGAATACTCAGATACACTTCCTCAATGAGGTCACCATGGAGAAAAGCGTTTGTAACATCAAGTTGAGTGAGGGTCCATCTAAAAATGGCAGCCAAAGAAAGCAAAAGCTTGACAGTAACAAGTTTGGCTACAGGGGAGAAGGTATCTAGAAAATCTATACCTTCTTGTTGCGTGTACCCTTTAGCTACGAGTCGCGCTTTGTATCGTTCCACAGTACCATCCGCTTGAAACTTAATTTTGTACACCCATTTGCAGCCGACGGGTCGTTTTCCTGGTGGAAGAGAAACAAGTGACCAAGTACCATTGCCCTCCAAGGCGCGCAATTCAACATCCATTGCATCTCGCCATTCCTGAAACTGAACAGCCTGTGAAAAGGTTTGAGGTTCGGTTTGGGCACTAATGGCTAGAGTAAAGATGTGATGGGGCTGTGCAAGTTTGTGGTAACTTAAAAAGGAAGAAATGGGATGGAGAGAGGCTGTGGAAGATGAAACAGGAAGTGAGTTTGTGGCCAAATAACAGTGGTAATCCTCAAGGTATGCTGGTCGTTTTGTTGTGTGAGGTGGACGTGAAATGGATTGAACAGGTTGATTTTGATCATCGTCATGAGTGAGTGTGTTGCTAGGGGACTCGGGTGATGGAGAAACAAGCTGAGGTGGAAGTTGGTGTTGAGACTCAATGGAACATGGTATGACACGGGCAGAGAATAGATCAAGATGAGCACTATCTAGCTGTGATTGTACAAAAGGAAATATAGTCTCATGAAAAACAACATTCCTTGTGATGTATATCTTATGGCTTTCTAAATCAAGCAGTTTGTACCCCTTATAACCAAAAGGATAGCCAATAAACACAGAGGCTCGAGCTCTAGGAGTGAACTTTGTTCATTGGCTAAGGAGAGTTGATCTATAACACAGGCAGCCAAAGGAACGTAAATGAGAATAAGCCGGCTTCTTGTTATTTAACAATTCAAAAGGACTTTTGTTTGACAACAAGGGTGAGGGTGTTCTATTAATCAAATAGACAGTAGTCAAGACACATTCATCCCAATAACAAAGTGGAATATGAGATTGAAAAAGGAGTGCTCGTGCCACATTAAGTATGTGTTGGTGCTTTCTCTCAACTACCGAATTCTGCTCATGAGTTTTAACACAAGAATGATAGGGGATAATCCCTTTAGAACGAAAAAAACTATGGAATGAGAGCTCAGGGGCATTGTCAGATCGTACAGATTTAATGGAAATGTTATATTGTGTCAAAATCAAATTGTAAAAATTTGGAAAAATAGTTATAACATCTGATTTTGAATTTAAAAGATAGACCCATGTGGCTCTAGTACAATCATCAACAATGGTGAGAAAGGATTTGTGACCAGCCCGTGTAAGAACATGAAAGGGTCCCCATATATCAATGTGCACTAGATCAAAGGGTCGTGAAGACATATGATTATTTGAAATGAATGGAAGACGTTTTTGCTTAGCCAAATGACAAATCCGACAATGCGAAGATAATGTAGATAAAGGATTAGAAATTTGTAATTCATTATGGAGCAATTGGAGTTTTACAGTAGAGAGATGTCCCAATCTAAAATGTCAAATATCATTTTTGCTGATTACAGAGGCTGAAGAAAACGAATTACAATAAACATCTCCTAAATCTAGAAAATATAGGTTCCTTTGTCTTCTACCCCCTCCCAATCATCAAGCCCTGAGTGAGGTCCTGGATAACACACGAGTTTGAGAGAAAGTTAACACTACAGTTGTGAGTAAGTGTGAGTGCACTGACACTGAGCAGATTAAAAGTAAATAATGGAACAAAAAGCACATCGTGTAATATCAAGGAATTGGACAATTTTACGGAGCCTATGCACTCAATTGCTACGGCGTGACCATTAGGCAACGTGACAGTGGTATGTCGGATAGGGATTGAATGAGAAAACAAGGAAAAATCACAGCAAACATGATGGCTAGCACCGGTGTCTATTACCCATGTACCAGGTGGAATAGAAAAAGACGAAAGGGAAGAGATGAACACAGAGTTACCATAGATTTGAGAGATGGAAGGGTCAGTGACGGAAGGATTCTCAGCTATTTGTGCGTCAGGAGTGGCGACCGCATGATGATGAAGCTGCGAACTCAGGTAAGCAATCAACTGCTGGACTTGATCGGTGGTCATCTAGCCATTCGGTGAAGGTGAGCTCATCGCCGTCACAGCAGTAGGTAAGAATTGAGATCGATTTGGAAAAACCTTGTGTTGGGGTGAGCTGGATTGAAGGGAGCCCATTGAGGATGATTGGGCAGAATGGGTAGAATTGGCCCTGAGCTTGGGCTTGAACCCAAGAGGATACCTATGTATTTTGTAGCATTTATTGACGGTGTGGCCCACAAGCCCACAGTGTGTACAAATAGGTCGATCTCTTCTGGGTCTGCTTGGTGATGGAGCAGCCGCCATAGGGGGAACCGACGGCCAAGTGACAACGGTAGGTCCCGATGGTGAGGCAGCTGAAAAGGGTCCCGGCGATGAGGCCTAAAATGCTAGAGGATTGGCTGGACCAGTGGATCCGGTACCTATTGTACGTTGTCTCTCTTCCTGAACAACAAGGTTAAACACTTTCGAAATGGAAGGCAGAGGATCGTTCAGCAAGATCTGTTCTCTGATTGTTCCATAAGACTCATTCAAACCCATTAGAAATTGCATGACATATTCTTGTTGTTGATAATCAAGCCAAGCTTTCATACCTCCACAATGGCAGACCGGAATGGGCTGGTAGTGCTTGAGTTCATCCCAGAGAATCTTCAAGCGTGTATAGTAGGTATTGATGTCCAGAGAGGCTTGACATAGGCCTTGTAGCTGTTGCTTGATTTGGAAAATACGTGGCGCATTGCTTTGATGAAATCTCTTGTGCAAATCTGTCCATACAGCGTGAGCAGAGTCCAGATACAGAAGACTATCTGCAATCTCTTTCGAGACAGAGTTGAGTAACCATGAAATCACCATGCTGTTGCAATGAGACCAGATTCCAGCCAGGAGGTGCTTGAGCGGATGGTTTTGAAATAGACCCATCAACAAAACCTAGCTTGTGTTTGGCATTGAGAGCCATGAACATAGCTCTGTTCCAAGTGTTGTAGTTAGGGCCAGTGAGAGGATGGGATACCAAAATGAGACCAGGATGATCTTCGCTATGAAGGAAATACAGACTGTTCGTGCCGTCCATGGCCGTCGGATCCTGCTGGTCCATAGTGTTAGAAGACGCAGGTGGAGTCAATGCCTGAAACCGATTATTGTTGTGCTGCTGGCCTCCACGAGCCATATTCAGAGATGAAATAGAGCAGGGAGAGCAAATTGCTCTGATACCATTTTACAGAATAATACTGAGGAAGAAGAGAGTAATCATCTCATTCATTCACTGAAAACTTATGAAAATGCAAAACGCATATATAGCTAAGATAGGCTCCTAGAAAAACTCTGCTTACACAAAACGATGTAACCGAATGGTACAGCTCAGCAAAACAAACTCATTCTAGAATAGCTTATTTGTTGCCTCTTTGCTTGAAAGAGTGTTATTGTTATTGTTGTGGTTCAATGCTGATCCTGAATCTGTACTCTCTCCTCCTGACTTTGTACTTCCCTGCCCATTTATTTAAACACAAAATAAAAAATAAAAAAATAAAAAAATAACCAGCAAAGATTAAAAACAATATTATTAGCATGTTTTGTGACAAAAGCTCAAAAACCCGTATGCAAATCATGATAATATATACTTGGAGAGAAAATTATAAGAGTATTGGTCAAAAGAAGAGGAAAGTTGAAAGAGAAGTTTAAAAAAGAAACTATTGATATGTTCTTTTGTCCATAAAACTCAAAAAAAGACAATTCAAGTTATAACTTTATTTAAGTTCACATTTTTTTAAGTTTTAATTTTATTCAATTTTACTCAACTTTATTTAAGTTCTAACTTCAACTCAAGTTATAACTCAAATTTAACTCAAAAATTACACTCAAATTACACTTCAAATGAATAACCCTTACTACTCTTGGGGTTTGCTGGTATCTCATTGGCCATGAAGGGAACATTTCCAGAGTAGCTGCAGGCCTGACTGTGAAAAAAGCTGCAAAAGAATCAACAAAAGCAAAATATATATATTGAAAATAAAATAACTTTTTTTTTTCTTCTGTAGTATTAATTATGGGCCCGTTTAGTTTACTGATTCGAGTTTTTAATTCGAATTAAGATGTGATGTTATGTAAAAATTTTTTACTGTAATAAAAAAATTAAATGTAATTATTTTTTAGAGTTTTTAACTGTAATAAAATTTAAATTTTAAATTGTGAAGTTAGCGGGGCCTGTGTGCGTTGAAAAAAGGTGGCGTGTGAGGGAACCTAATCCTCTCACCCTTTTGTGCAGTTATGGAGTCAGTAAATCATGCCGGGAAGGTCAGGTTTCTATGTTGTAGCCTCACGCCATTCAAGTCTCTCGACCTCTAAATCATTACTGTATTGGAAATGGTAACACTACAAAGACATTTTCAAACTTTTATTTTCTCTCTTTTCTCTTTCTCTCTGCTTTTTTCTTGAGTTGGTTATGCTTTATCAAACGTCACGGAAAAAAGAGAGAGATGATAAATAATACTAATAGCAAAAGGCCAGACGTGCTTTAGCTTTATCAAACGTCACGGAAAAAAGAGAGAGATGATAAATAATACTAATAGCAAAAGGCCAGACGTGCTTTAGCTTCATCATTTCCAATCTTCACTTCTTGCAAACCGATTGCTTGTTCCAGCTCTCCAAAATCAAAAGCCGATCCTTCTTCATTACTACGCCAACAACAACAAAGAGAAAGAATAGAAATTTAATTGCCCATGTCAGAAATCAACGCAAAAATAAAATAAAATAAAATAAAGAGAACAATCCAAATTTGAAAAAAATGAAGAGAACCCATTAATCTATAAGGTTTGAAGATAATGAAAACAAATTTAATATAAGGAAAAAGTTTAGAATTTGGAAGTGGTTTTCTGTATCATGTTATATTCATACATGAACCATGTTGAAGCAGGATTGTTAATCCCACGGAAAACTGCATATGGCATATGGTGATTCGAATATAAGGTGGTAAAATAAGAATAAACTCCACATTTTAAGTGAGAAATGATTGAGGTAATGTTTTCTTTCATAAAAGGTGGTAAAAGCATTAGGAAAGGGAAAACAAATTTTAAATATAAGGTGTTTGGATGGAACATGGTTAATTGTGGGACTAACGCAGAAAAAAATAATAATAATAAATAAAGTTCATTAATTAACGAATGTAACTTGACAAAGGTGATCTTGACGTGTCAAAGGAGAAGAAAAATCAAAAGTAACTTGTTAACGTTAATTTTACAGATTTTTTTAAAATTTTTCAGACAAATCAAAAAAAGAAGAAAAGTTGTACTTGTAACAAGGTATAGGATTAAAAGTGACTCGTAGGTAATACATAATGACCCTGTACGAAAAATATTGACGTTAAAGTGTTAAAAAAGTGTTAAATTATAGTGAGAGATTCTTTTTCTCATTTTGGATATAGGCCAACAGAGAGTAGATAATGACATTACATGTCTTGTATATATAATAATATTTGTTTTTCTCACGCTGTACTTATCGTTAAAAATGTTTTTTAGTCTTAAATTTGAGTTTAAATTTAAATTTAAATTTAAAATAATATGAATTTAAATAAAATTATAACTCGAGTTTTTTTTTTTTTAAATTTTTAACTCAAAAATACACCTGCCGAACAGCCCTTAAGTAAGTTTGCTTTTGGATAGTTGAGAAATTAAGGGTACAAAGCAAGAAAAGTACGGGCACATCCAGTATAATCAAAATGTTTGGTAGAGGGATTCGTTCTCTTATTCGAATCATAATTCATGGTTCGCTACAGTATTTTCTCTCATAAAAAATACACATAAATCAAAAATAATTTGAATCATATGGTTTGAATCTTTTAACCAAACGTTTAATTCAATCAATGTTGCGGATGAATTTGAACTCTGAAACATTTTAAACAAATATTACTTCATAAAATATAGCTTTAAGGAAAATAAACCTGTTACATACATATTGGGTGGTAAGACAAGAAAAACCTCGACATTTACATCAAAATCTAGGATTTAGTTTCCTTGGAACACACAAAAAAAAAATGATCAAACTAAAAATTAAAGGGCACACACCTTGTATTTTGCATTAATCCGGAATCGTAAAGCAGAAAGATATATTCGCTTCATTACGAAATTTCGTAGGTCGCCAAATGTTTGAAACTTGTTCATTGGAACCTACAATAGTTTCGCAAATAGTTACATTAAAAGATGGAAGCTAAAAAAACAAAAAACAACACAAACAAATTTGAAAAAGCACGAACAAGTAAAGAAAAGAATCGTCACTTCTTTATTTTTTTTCAATTTCATGACAAATTATAGCTCATAATGTTTTCAGCAAATCAACTTACAAAGTACTTTATATTTTCTTTTCTTCTTTAAAAAAAAAAGCACGCCTTATAGCTGAATGATTATTTCTTAGATAATCGTGTGATAATTAAATCAACCATTCGCCTTCTTTTGAAACTTCCACATAAATTCAACCAGAGATGCCTAAAGCCCTTATAATACTATCTCAATAACCTTAGAGGAGATAAAAGGAAAAATTGTGGATAAGGTTGTGTTGAAAACCTTGTCTTCAATATGACCATCTATTGTATTCCACATCTGTAATTCTGAAAGCACAACATTTCATTCATTTTCAAGATAAGAAGCACGTATTTTTGGCTTGAAAGCTTACTGTATCAAGAATAAATTAATGCAATATTCTACTTTTGCATCTTTATCATAAAAAAGACAATTAATAGACTAACGTACATACGAAAAGAATAGTAAACATAAAAAACATTATAACTTCCACAATCAGGCACATACCTCATTTAAAGCATCTAGTACGTGGGGAAGGACCAAAATGCTAAAATAAACACAAAATTAGGTCCAAAATAAAAAGTATTAGAGTGCAACACTATTTATTAATATCTAAATTGTATAAATTGAGAGTTCTTCATCGTATCAACTCAAAATTCCAAGCTAATAAAATCTAACAATAATAGAGTGAAAAGTTGAGAGATCAATAACTAAACAACCTCCAAAGTGACTTGTGAATTGATGTGATAAACTGTCCCATGGAAGTAAGTGTATGCTCCATTCGTAGCTCCTACATAAAAAAGTTCAGAAAATTTTTCACTCTCAATTACATGTTCAGTCATATGTGTAATGCCTTGTTCATCTTCCTCTTCATGCATGGATCCCACATGAACTTCTAGGTGTGCTTCAAACCTACAATTAATATAAAAAGAGTATTGTAATATATCTCATTCCATATACAAGTCCATGCAAAAATAATACATATAAATAAAGTTGTTGAAATATAAAAAGATATTATTGCCGCATAACTTTTGGGATGGACTCGTAAACTAACATGTTTTAGGTCATAAGTTTAAATCCTTGTAATTGCACTGCTTAGTTGTCATCACGTGTTGGATCTTTATGTGTCAGGCTTATTATATACTATTCACATGTTAGACTTTTCAATTAATATACCCATACAATTATCCATTATCTAGCCGACACGTGAATTGAAATATAAAATTAATGTCGGCCCACCTCCTAATAGGTTAAACTTTTGGGATATATTGGCAAACTAAGAAAAGTTTCTTTTAAGAAAACTAAGTGGTATTATATTACATTGTGCATCTCCAACATTAAAATCAAATAAGAATCTAAGGGTTTCACAAAGGTTGAGAATAAGAACGACTGCTCGAACCTTGGCATTCTGGGAAGAATGTTCGGAGAATAATATTATTAACCTTAGTGGCGAAAGAATTAAAAGAGATTTTAGATTTCCCTGAAGAAGGAAAGACAAATTACCTGTTGGAAAGCCTTTTGTTTGGTAAAATACAATAACGCAACCCGTTTTCTAACTATCCACGGGTTAGATTTGGATGAGAAGGAAGCTCATAGCTCAAGAAACCTGCCAAATTATCTTGCATCTTTATACTACTTTTTGGGCCAGCACGAGACTTCACCTTAAATTAAAGTAAAATGCAAACCAAAGAAAATCAAATTTTACATTTAATCAGGATCATATATAATATATATTGAAAGAAGAACAAGATCATGTTTCAAAAATAATATATTTGATTAACAATACATGCATCGCTAAACAAAAGGATATTCTATTAGTATGATACACACACATATGGATTAATAGTTACACTTACAAAAGAATTGTATGATCTCGGTT